CAAGGCTGTCGCATATCAACGAGGTTACTCTCCTTGTTTGAAATATAAACATAGCAAATAAGACATGTTGTGCAAAACGTTCCCCTTCTTGAACAAACAATGTGTGCGACGCTTTTTCTGTACTGGAGTGGAAGGTGCACAAGTCTCTAGGTGCAACAGGAGTAACACACAAATTGAGACAGAATAGAGCCAATCAGAACACGCAGGAAGGCAGGATGCGCTCATCTTGCTAGGGCTCCTGAACATCTGATTTCGCGAAATGATTTGAGCATTCCAGTTTCTGTTCTCTGCAGCTCCGTGAGAAGCACAAGTTGATAACGTCAGGCGTGTATGCCCACGTGCGCCATCCGATGTACGCATCAGGATTCATGCTGTGTGCAGCAACAGCGATGTTTGCTCCAAATTTTGTCGTGAACGCAGGAGGTGGGTCTCCATTTGTTTATATGTTCTGTTCTTTTCATTACACTCGTGGTTTATGTGCTCATCATGGTAAACTCCAAGGCTTCTGTACCACCTTGAACAGTTTATTCATGAAAATAAAGCTTTGCTTCGCTCAGGGCAGTGAGTTGCATGGGGGATCCATTGCCCTTCAGTCGGTGATTGAGCTCAAGTTCCACCTTAAGTATGACATGTTCCACAAAGCGTCAGTGATGCATATGGCTCTGAAAGTTGATCGTGGGAATTGAGCTTCGCAATTCCTGTAGGTCCGCCGCGTTATTGACTCTAGCTCGCTAGTTGTTTGCGCCATTGTGCCAAAAGTTCCTGGCAACTTTATGTTGTTAGAACAAAGACCTTCATTCATAATCTGATTGCCCAGAGGGTGGGCACCTTGTGAAGGCTTGCTGCTTGATCCTGCTCGGATAGGCAGTCGTTGAGCATTCATTTTGGACAACAACTTTTGAAGTGAGCACCCCATGGCCATTTGTAACTTGCTTTAGTAATGCCACTATAATTTCCCTTTCGTAGTGGTGTTTTAGGGTTACAAGTTTTCTTTCTGACCATTTGTTGGATATGGTCATGCTTTAAACATACCACGTTGTGCTGGCAGTCCTTGCCTGAAATCGTGAGCTCGGTGAAAGGGAGAAACAAAAGGGCTTATTTTGTCAGGTTGTGAAGAGTATGCTATCAATGTAGTTGGACCCAAGCACAACCATCAACAGTAAACAGTAACGTAAAACATTGATTTGTCACGGTGATGCTGTTCACCTGTTACTGCATCTGGAGTTCTGTGTCAGTAGGGCGCAACATTGGCCTGTGTCCCAACCATGCACTAAGTCTTTGTGATGCAATGCAGTGTTGGGAGCCGCGGCAGCGCTTTTGTTGATACGAATCCCAAGAGAGGAGCTGATGATGATTGAAGAGTTTGGTGAGGAATACCAGAGGTACAAAGTCGATGTCGGAGGGGTTGTGCCCAAGCTGAAGATCTGGCGATAGAGGAGGCGCACAGGGGAACAAGGATCTTGATGGCAACTCACTGGAAAACTATTGCGGAAACGGTTGGAATCAGGAGGAAATGAGCACTGCAGTGGGAAGCTATGGCGAAAGATCTATGATTCGTTTTTCACAGGAAAGAATGGCAGAGTGGCTTGCGATATGTTCAATGCAGACACGGTGACTTTGAATGATACGTAGATGTGCATTGGTGTGCACACAGATGAGCGCGTTTTCCGCAGATTCGAAGTAGGGCTCTGCTTATACACAGGTTGTATGACTCAAAGACCTGGATATGAGCAGAACTACAGATACCAGAGCGAGTGATACAGGAATCGCCTTGCGAGAATATCGGTGTTTGAATTTCTATGTTGCATAAAATGCTGTTCATTGCGATGAAAGCTCTTCTTTGCAAGGTCGGTGGGCAGGTTACCGATTAAAGAAATCCCCAGCGACGGCAATTCAGCTTGTTTTGTGTCCTCACGTGTATGGCCACCATAGCGCTGGCTCGAGCTCGGTCTGGGCGATGAATACGATACTGGGGCTGTAAACTGTGTTCTAGTCCCTTTGTTCAAATTCCGAAGTGTGGGGCAAAGTGAACCGACGGGCATGGATATTGCTTCGAAGCTCTGATGATGAACAACAGGGAGAGAACATATGAAACTTCATCAATTTACGAATTGGGTGAGCCAGGTGACTCTGCCAATCGGAGAGACCACGCAAGCACACGTACCTTCAATATCAAATGCAAATCTCGTCTCACCACAGTTTCGACCTCGTCAGTGCACCAGAAACCGGGCGATTTTGCCGTTCGCATGGATGGCGCCAGCTATTGCAAACCGCCCTGGGAGCTTTCAACAGTGTCGAAGCTCCTCCAGCGACCAACTCACTGTCCATTCCGCAGCTTCCCAGTGGCGCATTGCGTTGGTGGTTCTAAAGTTGGCGCTTATCGGCAGATATTGGCATGGATCGCTCCTGCCCGGGTTTTCACAACGCCAACTCAAACTTTGAACAACTGCGTTGGAAGTACGATTTGCTTTCTTTTGTCAACGTCGCCAGCACTACATGTTTATTTTGGTCAAATGCAGCTCCTCCCTGGATTCATATACAGTCACGATAAAAAAACGTGATTCTATGCTGAGAGCTTCTCTCCCCACCAGAGGTCACTGGCAAGCAGCCGCTGGTGCGGTCCCTCATGAACAACATTGGGCATCTTGCGGCTCTGCTCCTTCGTCCCGTCCATTCCAATGCGTGCTTTCCGCTTGGGCGTTCATTTGCATCCCCGCAGCGAAGATCGTTCCACCACGCTCGGCCCTTCCTCTACGCATTGCATCTCGTCCGCTGGATTCAGCCACACGTCGTCGTGCACTGAAAATCACGCCACATCGGGCGAGCGCGCCGCTTGTCAGCTGTCCCAGAAACGCTCAGTGGCACGTTCTGGTCTGCATTTCATTTGATGGCATCGACTTTACTCGGCGGCTTACCAGCCGCCTCCTCAATCCTGTAGCTCAACAAATCGTCCTCTTTAATTGCGCTTTCGTTGGCCGTGGTGTTTCTGGACCCTGTGCCTGAAGTTCCCATCGCCGTCGGCACCTGCTCATATATGTCCATCCCACGACATTGGGGGAGATCGATATTGGCCCCTGATACCTGTGCGCAGATAGGCCTTGTGTCTTCTTCGCCCAGCCAACATGGACGGGTTCTCAAAGGGAAAAATCAACAAAACTTGGCATGGAACCTTGCGGCCTGCCTCACTGCAATGAGGCAGCCTCCACGCTCAGTAAAGAACGCGCCAAGAGAAGCCATCGCCAGACTGCCAGCATGATGAAAAAATGCTATCCCTCTTTCTCCCAGCTTCAAATGCTCATTTTCTCTCTTTTTGGATCATTCCCGTGTTCCGACGTGTACTTAGTCAACATATCCCACCACGTGTCACACGTGCAAACACTTATATACGACGCGTTTCGGTATGCAAAATACGTTTCAACAACCACCGCACCTCACCGTGCTTCTAATCCGTGGCTCCGTCCCTCACTTCAATTTATCATTTGACATTTCTCGTTCGATATTCGGGCTCGCTGCTGCGTGTAACCTTACCGCTACCACCTGAGGAGGGTGGAAAAATAAAGCGCGTGTCAGCAGTTTGTCTCTAGCAAAACTTGACTGGCGCATCTCCGCTCCATGTTCCATTGCTGATTGGCAATTATTCAATATTGACAGCACATCAGTAAACGCAATCAGCAAGTGTGTTTTTACTTGGAAAGCATCAATAGACTCCTTGTTTGGTGCTTTTTCAGCGTCTTGCCTTCGATTGCTGAAATGTCGCCCCAAAATGTGACAGGGGATCAACCGTATTCCAACAGTTGTATCGACCTTTGGATAAGATGGTCACGAGGATTGCTACGCAAGACAAGCTTGTTCCAACCACTTGTACAGAAAGGAGCTGCTGGTAAATGTACTCGTTTTATTTGTCCCAGGCATCGGCAGCGGACGCGGTAGCTACTATCATGTGATTAGGGGGAAATTTCGATCGTAGAAAATCCCTCCCGTGATGAATTTTCTCAGTGCAGAGTCGCATGACACGGTCATTAAGTGCCGCCGTGTTGCTTGTGAGGATACGTTCACTCGCCCTTGGGATACGAATGCACTGCCCTACCCCCTCGTCTCGAAGCAGCTTGTTCGCCAATGTAAAAAAGGAAGAAGGCACTTTTTATCCTAGTGATATGTCCTCTGCCTCCGCAACTCAGAATTCCTGAGCTCCAGGGCAACCACCTTGATGTGAATAGGCACGACAACTTGAGCAAAGCCGAGGAAGCGCGGTAAGCGACAAGGCCTGCGACCTCGGAAAATGGCGATTGCAAAGGACATCTCCGCATTACAGCTTCATCCGTGGCTTCAAATCTCGAAATATCTTTTGATCGTGCCTGGCGCAAATTCAACCGCTGAAGGCACCGTCCCGTTGAGCGTATTCAGAAGCCGACAAAGCAATTTTGGCGGTGCCAACTGCAATGCCATTTGACACCTACTGATGCCGCCGCAATCACTGCGATGGAACCACTATTAAAATACCATCGCAGGTCGCATCACCAAAACGTTGTTTTCTGCTGATGATACTTCATTCCCACCAATAGAACCATTCGATCATGAAGGGTGGCGACTCGTCAGACGGCGCAGCTCATGGAATGATTGATCGGCGCAATCGCCCATAACACTCAAAAGGTCATGTTATCCAGAGCACAAATCCAGCAGGTTCCTCTGAGTTGCCGCAACGTAAACAGAAGAGAGTGAGATTGGATGATCCCCACTCCCTGGCGACAGGGCTCCATGCAGCCAATAGGTTCCACACAGGCCTTTCCCCCAGCAGCCCCAAAGCAGCCCTCTGTACACAGCACCAAGTTCCACATGTGGGACTCGTGCGAGGCCCGCCACCCATAATCACGTCCCCTCAGTGACATGACGCCATCGTGAGCCCTCAGAATGAATGACCCATTGCACCACAAATGCCGCCCTGAAGTTCGTGCGCCCACTCTCGCGCCATTCGCACCAACGCGCGTTTGCCCTCGATCGCCATGGCCGCGCCTGGGCGCCTTGGATTCGCCGTCTGCCTCGTTGTCCTCCTCGGTGTCGCAGGTGAGGCAGGCGCTTTCTCGCGCCCCATTAGCGCCGTCGATTCAGAGCCGAAAGCGCCCGGCGTCCACCGTGGCGTCGCCGGACCCTTGCCGCCCCTCCGAGCTGCTGTGGCGGCAGCATGGGCAACTCTCGCCTCTGCTGCGCAGCACGGGACCTCTCGTTCGCCCGTCCGCCAGCCTGTTTGCACCAAACCCATTGCTTGGGCGTGTTCTTGGCGCTCCTCGGCATGAAATTAGTCCAAATTGGCTTCCCTATCCCGCGTTCGGTCTGCCGCCATCACCGCGATCGTGGCGGCCAGCATGGGCTGTGACGGGCCGGCAGCCGGCCTGTCGGTCCCCGCAGTGTCCGCCCTTCACCGTGCGTTCGGTACAGAGCGCTCCGGGCGCCGGTCGCGCGGGGTACCCCCTGAGGCGAGTTGCGCGCCGAGGGGCCAGGCAGGCCGGTCGATCGCGACCCCAAGGGGTGCGTCGCGGATTCGTGCGAGAGCTGGAATGGAAGGCGGGACCGCGGCCCCGGGGAGCAGCGCCCACGGACGGGCGCCTCCGTCGTTGGAATTGATGCCGGTGCCAACGTCACGGACAGCAAATTCGTCGATCCGCATGTTCATGCTGATCCCTCATATTTGCTCTTCTCCCTTGCCGGCAGCAGGCCCTCACTACAGTGCTGGCCAAGCAACTCTGGTCTTGCTTTGGAGAATTGCTGTCCAAATGACCCCAAAGCAAGTGAAGGTTGTCATGGAGCAACGCCGCTCCCTCTGCACAATCGGGAGCTGTCGCGATGCTGCGCTGGTGCAAGTCGATGCTGGCACAGACAGCAACCATTGCTAGAATGGGCACAAGGCACTGCGGCTTGTATCACAGTAGTCGTGCCCAATTTACTCAAGCACTTACTAATCATGGCTACGGCTAAATTGCTCGGTTCTTTTTAATGGCAAGGCACTACCCTTACGTAAAGCTTGATTCAATTCAACAAAGGTAAAAAGAGAGGAAACGTGGCATTGCGTGAATTTCACACTGGAACGAACATGTACATGGAAGTTTCCGTTGCTCTCTCAGAATAATTGCGAGGCCTGTACTAACCTAATTAGCGCAAATGATTGACATGGGTTCGTTGCCGTTGCTCCTAGGCTGTGCTCGTGGAGCCCTGGACATCGAAGGGGTGTCTCCCGAGGATTTCCAGAATGTGAATCAAGAGTGCATCGGCATTGGCACCAACATATTGACATTCTGCCAGGAGCAAGCCGCTGCCGCTGAGAAATTCTTCAACTTCACCATTGGGCAGGAGGAGGAAGTGGTTGTTACTGACGAGGGCATAGAGGAGTTCATTGAGACCATCTCAAATGTGTCTGCTGAGTGAGTGGCGTGCACCAGCGGCAGCACAAATATCTGTTTCAAGCACAGTCTCTGCTCCTGTTTTCTGGACGCAATAGTGTTGAGTGTAGACAGCTTTGCGCAGCTTGTGTATGTATTATTGTTGGCATAGGTGTAGGTACAGGTATTGGACGCCCAGACGTAATGGCATTGGTTTGGGATTTAACTGGGCACGAACTGTGACAAGGATGGGAATCCGTTTGGAGATGCCTCATGTTGGGTCTTGGCGATTCTCCAGAAAAGCACAGATCTGCGTCGAATCACCTTTTTGTACATAGGCAAGCGGCTTTGCGAATGTGTTTATAGTGAAATAAATTGATTTTCGCACTGCAAATGATAGTGACTCGAGCATGTCAGCTTGAAACCCTGATTCTTTTTTGTAGGAATGGAATGTATCAAGGGTATGTCGCAGGGGGCATGTCATCCATTACATGGATTGCCGACTGTTGACATCTGTGAAGGGTCACCCTTTGTGAAGGCGGCAGAGCGCTTAGATATGTCTGCTAATCCACATTCTTGTACACAGAGAACGTTTATTCTCAGCGCAAATAAGAGGACAGCTGCACTGTTATAGTTCAGTGGTACTGCAATAATGTGCAGGAGTTTGGAAGCATTCTGCATGTTGGCAGCAGCTGAAATCCTTCTTTGTGTGTCCCATGCCAGTTGCTGCAGGGTTTCCTGCGAGTTCAACAACCTGGTGAGTGGCGCATAGCGAACGGAATGTTCACAGGCTGAGATACACAACGAATCATCCGTTGAATTGCAAGTGCCGCAAACCGCAATAAGCCGCTGTCCAGGCTAAATGGCAGTTATGTGGATGGCTTTTTCTGTTTGAGTGCTTTTGCACAGGATGCGCGGATGCTGTTCATTTTTGGAATTTGGCCTGTTCCTTGGCAGCACTCTTGTTGCATTATCATGGACACAAAGATGAACGATGCTGCAACGGTGGCCCTGCACCAACACCATCAAGCGTGAATGTGGATGGCAGCCCTTGGATGGATGTTCATATGGGACCCTTGTTGGAGCACACTTCTTGGTTGCATCCATCGCCAAATTGTCACTAAATACAGCAACGTTGTTTTAAGTTGAACTTCTGTCCAACTTCCAGACTTCCTTCAATGGCGTCAGGGCCTGAGAAATGGCCGCGTGCGGGCGATGTGCTGCGTTGTAGAGTTGACACGCCCTAAGGAAATTCCAGGAGGCACTTGGTGGAATGATTGAACGCTGGACGATAGGATACGCTGTCGCTTGAATTTCTTGGTCGAGGAAAACAGTGTTCCATTGGCTTCATTGGGCTCGCTACCTGTCCGTGCGTGCCCTAGGTCTCCACATCACACCGCCATCAACGAACGCCTGTCGAATCCGCAGGCTGCAAAGGCTCGGCTCGCCATCAAAATATTCGACTTTTGAGGCAGCAACAATGCTGGCCACAAGAAAACTGACCGTATGTTGGTATGTACATGCAGTTCTGCTCTTGCGATCCGACCATGAAGAGAATCATTACGCAGATTGCGGGCAGCTTTAAACTCTTCGAAGCAGGTAACACTGTCTCTGGATGGGGCGGCAGTACCAACGCAAAGTTTGTGTATTTGAATGCCTGTGATGGACATGCCGGTCGCTTCCGAGGCAAAGCGCATTTGCGTCCACAATGCAGTGCGGTCCCTTACGACTTGCAGGTGGTGGGCGAGCGCACGCGCTGCCAGCACGTTGGCGTTCCTGCATTTCATATGCGTGGCAAGCGCAAAAGCGAACGAATGATGGCAGATGATGTGCATATTCCAAGGTGCAGTCGCATCGTTGGCGGCGGTGCCAGGAATGCACTTGAGAAATATCTATAGCATGTCTGAACTCATTTAGAAAACAGGGGTGATTTTGTAAACAACATTTGGAATTCTGAAAGGGTCACAGCAATGGCTGGTGCAGTGCATGGTCAGCAGCAAACGTCAATTAGTAGCTTGTAGTGGTTGCCTTAGTCAGCCGCTGCTCTAATCCACGACAACCAATTGAAATGCCACATTCCTTTCCTCACCATGGTTGATGTTCCTAGTTGCAAACATGCTCAACCCAGAAATAATTGAGCCTAAGCACTCCGCAGACGCGCCTAACATTGTAAATTGCCAAATTTTACTCACTGCACTATTGAGAACGCTGCAATTACGTCTCACTTGAAATTGCTAAATTATTGGAAATTTCCGATTCGCAAATTCTTGCCCCCAATCTCATCGAAATACGCTACGGGCGCAATTTCAGCAGCAAGGAATCCGTCCAGGGCCTCATTTGGGAGCTGCTCCATTTTGGTGATTGCCATGGTGTTGCACTGAAACCTGCGCCAACGGCTCTGTCCATTGCAGCCACCATTGCCGTCGGGAAGGACTGCGGCATTCCCACATACATCGAGGACACGTGCATAACCAAGAAGAGGAAGCAAAAGAAGGCCGAGAAGGGTGACTGCGAGAGCTTCATGTGATGCCCGCGTCCCGGCCACGTGTCCCACATAATGACAAGCAAAATGACAGCAAGTGGATTGATAACAGGATAGCTTGGCTTGGAGATATTTTCCCTGATTAGGGGCCAATTGATCGCCCCAATTAGGTAGGGGGTAAGAAGGTGAGCGATCCGCTGCATGGAGGTGGGGAGCGTCTGTGACAAAGGTGGAGGCAGGGGATGGTGCCTGCTGCGTAGCCAGATCCCTTGAGGTAATTGTCTGGTGATTTGTGCAGCCTCGGAGTATCTGTGACGGAAACTGGGCCTGGCCGTCTCTCACGGTGCTCATTGCAGTAGCGAATGCTGCTTTGGGAAAGCCGGCTGTCACGCGTGCGCATGACTTTTGGTAATTGTTCTGAAGGTGTCCTCACATGGCACGAGAGCCCAATTTCAAGTCAGTTTTCAACCACGTGTGTGGTCCCGTCAGTGCAGACAGCCAAGTAGCCCATGGAGGGATACAAAACAGCACACACTTCATGGTTCAACTGGTACCATCAAGCGTGCCATGAGAGTGACAAGGCACAGACACAGGGCATCGCGTCTACCGTGCATGGGAGGTCGTTTTGTAGTGGATGCGGTAACCTCACCTGCCAGATGAAACTCCAAATCACGTCGATTTGCCGAGCCACATCTCCATCTCCGACAAAGGCAGACAGCCCAGAGGGACCGAATATTAATATCGCTTGGTTGCTCAGCTCCTACCCCTGAATTGGGTCCCGCACACTCAAATGTCTGCCTTTTGTGCTGATAATTCTGGAAAGTGGCGTGTTCGGGTGGAACTGGGTGCAACAACAATAGCCACTCTTGCTAGCACTAGCTCGAACTTTTGTGATCTTTCCTTTGGGCTTGCTGTCTTGTGTGGATTGGGCCTTTCATGACATGGTCACTCTGTCTATCTAGAGGCCACCAAGATTCCAAACGCTTGCATCTCCAGGCTTGACTCGCTCTGTGATGTTTGCAAAAAGTACATGGCAATGCATTGACCCTGCAAACTGAAGCGATGTGGGGCTGAACTGCATGCACGGCGATTGTGCGTAGCACAATCATTCCATCACAATATTCTTTCATGTCCACGCTCAAGGGCAAGCACGGAAATCACGGCAGGCACGCTTGCGCTAGCATATTAAGGAACATAGCAACTGTGGACATAAAAGTGTTCACCATCGGGTTTAGGGACCCAACCTCAGCAATATAGTGTGGCAGCCGATGAAAGCCAACATACTTTTTGCCAACGATACAGTACGCGATGCTTTCATGTTGCATGTCGCATAGGCGCAATTGGGGCAAAAAATTCAGGTCGTTTAGCCGGAGAGTACTAAAATCTGCACAGTCACAGCTCGCGGCAGCTACTCAAGGCCACTATGCATCTTCGCAACAATCCCTACTGACAGAAGAATGGAGGTGGGGAAGACATGTCATTCAACAAGCGACAGGTTCTACCATACACACCGCACGAATGTAAAACGGGCGTTTTGGTGGCTCCCCTGGGAATTACTGCACCTTTGACACGTCTACTTTAGAAAGGGACACAGTAGTCTCTTAGCTGGCTGGGGGGGGGGGGGGGGCGCTCGCAGCATATCGGCCTCGGAAACATTGGCAGTACCATGAATTGTTCGCATGGAAGTTCGCATGAACCATGACTCGGTCAACATAATGCACCAATGATACTGGCAGCGTCGTACTGTACATCAAGATTCGTATCAGTACTAGTTTAAAGAAACCTTACGTCCGGCTTCCTGCGGCTTCCCGCCCGGACACATTCACTCCCGTGATAATAGTACATTACAAACTAGTACAAGTGGATGTTCCCAAACTTTCTCATACATGCAGCAAGTGTATGCCAAGCTCCCAGAGATAACCCGCACCCGTCTCAGGCGCCCGCGGAGGGCCCGGGCGGGGGTGGGGAAGAACCGGAGGGCGCAGCGGTGATCGCAGCGCCCGGAGGGGGCCCGAGAGCAGGGAGGGAGGAGGGCGCGGTACCGCGGAAGACATCCTGGATCGCGGCCCGGAGATTGTCGGCCGGCGCCACCATCCACCCGAAGAGGCAGAAGTCAAATTCGGTAGGAGTGCGTTGTCGGTCGATGTAGCGCCAGATGGCCTTGGAGTCCGGCGCCCACCAGCCCCAGTCGCGTATCCGACTCTCTGGGACGAGGATCGAAAAGGCCGATGAAGCGCCCGTCCGCCGAGCGCTGTGATGCGTGAGATTAGGAGTGGTGAGGTGCGCCGCGGCGATGCCAAACCAGCTGTGAACGGCGGCCGCGGTGGGGGGCCGACGATCGGCCGGGAGCTGCAGCAGATGGAGCGGCCCCGAGCCAGGCCGTCGGGCCCACTGGGCAGCCCGGAGCTGCAGGAAATGTCGGAGGAGAACCGGCAGCTTGGGCACGCCCTGCGTGTCGAATTCGCGAAGGCGCCATTGGAGTTCCCGGGTAGCTTTGGCCTTGAAGCGGCGCTCACGAAAAACTAGGAGGTGGCCCGTCAGATAGAGGTCCTCATTGTAG